TGAGCCTGCTGTAGTGGAAAGACTCAAAATGCAAAAACACTTACCAGTCCTCACTCAGGTCTGGTTGTTATAGCCTTAAGTTGCACCAGGAGAAGGCCAAGTTAGACATTTGGAAGAATTTCTTTAGAGAACAGGAGATTTGGCACTGGAATGTGCTGCCCAGGCAGGTGGTGGAGTTGCCATCCCTGAAGGTGTTTAAGGGAAGACTAGATGTGGAATTAAGTGCCATGGTCTAGTTGTCATGATGGTGTTAGGCCATAGGTTGGACTTGATGATCTCAGAGGTCTTTTCCAAACTCAATGATTTTGTGATTCTGTCTGCTTCACTTTTCCCTGTCTCTCTGCCCCCAGACATGTCACTGCCTCAGTGAGCTCATGTCTGCTTTTGTCACTGCCAAGCACTTCACCATCTTCTTTCAGCAGCAGCTGCTGCTTGGATGCCCAGATGTGCCTAACCCACGGAATCCCTGAGTGAAAAAGTGGTGACTGTAAGGTGGGATGGTTCTGTAAGACACTGGATTGCACCCACACCCACTTCCCTCTCAGTTCTACCTCCCAACCTCACTTGGAGGCTTATTCTCCTAGGCAGAAAGCTGTGACCCAAACACCTGGAAATGCACCATGCCTGTGATTCAAGGCAAAGCATTTCTCAAAGAGTTCAGTTGAGGAAACAAAGCACCAGCATTTACACCATTGCACCAGATGCTGACAGCAGCACTGGGCTATGGTTGGTGAGAATGGAAGCAAAACAACTGGTACAAATGGAGGTCTCCTGCCACACTGGTTTCAATTCCCCAAACTCCACCACTGCTGAGAAGGCTCCATAATGATGAATTTGAAATAGAGTCTGTGCAGCTCTTTGGTGCAGGCATTTATATCTGCCAAACCTCTCCTGCAGCAAGAAGGGGTGAGTGGGGAGCATACACCTGCATCCTGCACAACACTTTGTTGAGGGTGTCCTGCTTAATTTGGGCAGCCAGAGCCACCAATGGTTCGCCATCAGGTGCTCACGGCTGCACGCAGTCTTATGCCCTAAACAGCTTCATCTACATCAGGGAAGAACACAGGTCTGCTGGCCTAGAAGAGCCCATGTCTCCATGAGGAAATGCTTTATCCTCTGTGTGTCCATGGCTGCACCTAAGCTGAGCAGTGGCATGATGCCCCTACATGCCAACCCCTGCATCAGTAGGCACCATCTGAGAGGACAGCAGCTTGCACACACTAAAATGGTGCTGGGACGGTGACACAATTTGAGTGGGTTAGGGTTTTTTTCTTCCAGGACTTGAACTTCGATGATCCTTGTGTGTCCCTTCCAGCTCAGGATACTCTATGGTTCCATAAGTAACCATAGCAGGATGGGCCCGATGATATTTGCACCTACAGGTCAATCATCTCTATTTTAGCAGCACAGGAGTGTTGATGACATGACAGACGTCCTGGACCTAGACAGCAACAACTGTATGCGAACAGATTTCAGGCTGGCTTGGCTGCTGCTCATGTTCACCAGCTGCCTCTACTACCTGCCAGTATCAGAGATTTCTGCACATTTCTGTGCCAAAAGTGAGGGCATGAGCATACTCCTGTATCAGCCAGGTTGAGCCTCCTCCCGTGGCCCCAGACCAGCCCTGACAGTGACCACAGCCTGAGCAGAGCACAGGTGGCAGTTGCCTGCACCAAAGGCAGGATTTGTGTACAGAGACCATGTGCTCAGAGCAGCTCGAGCCCTCCACAAATCAGCAAGCAGAGGGCTCTGCATGAGGTGCAATGGTGTGCTCCTCCATCCTGCATGTCCCACAGCAGCCAGCATCATCCCCACAGGCTACCCTCGCTCCAGACAGGTGAACACTCTTGGAAAGGACCAGCAGGCACAGAGTGCTTCTCACAGAGCACAGGGTTGGGCTCTTGGGGTAGCAGGAGTCTCCCAGAGAGACAGTCCCAGCTCACAAGAAGATCCCATGTAAGAGGCATGTTCCATGCCTCAGGCACACACACTTTCTCCAGGGTACCTCTCCTGGAATGGCATGAGCATAGCAGGCATATCACAAGGGTTAAGCCCTTCTGACATCTCTCCCATACCTGCACAGCTCTGCAGGATGAAGACCAGGCCCAGGGAAGCGAGGATTGAAGGGAGAAGGCTCTGCCCTGCTGTGCACTGCCCCTTCCTCCTCCATTATCCTTCGAGTCTCCTCCAGAGTCCTCACAGTCCAACAATCTCCTCCATCCCCCAAATGTGCTCTGGGCACCATCTCCTGCTCCGCTCTCCTATGTGCCAACCTGGAGGCGAAGGTCCCTTTTGCCCTCTCACAAGAATTATTCAACTCTACTTCAGAAAGCTTTGACTTCCAGACAGGGAATGCTCAGCACTTCCCAAAATGTAATGCCCACCCACACAGCTGTGGGCAATGCATTTGAAACTGCACATCTGCTGGCTGAGGGCACTGGATGGAGCACTCAGCCTGCTCTGACTCGAGGTTTTGTTGCGCTAAAATACACCCTATTCAGGAGAGGCATCCCAGCATGATCACTCTGCACATCCCTGTCACCCACCTGCACCTATGCAACCCTTTCCCACGATGTGGAGCCTGGTGACCACGCAGCCACAGCCCTCAAGGAGGCATCTCCAGGCAGAACAGCAAGGCTGCTGCCTAGCATCCTCCACTGCTGGAGGCTGCAGCGGCACCTGTATCTACTGTATTCCTTGTTATGGAACAGCCTCTCCTCTTGTCAGCCTCCAGTACCATGTCCTTTAACCACAAGCAAAAGCAACCAATCCCCCACAAAGGCACATCTGCTCCAAGTCCATATTACAACAGGGAAAAATGACACCTTCAGCTATATAAACCAATAAAGACTGTCTGATTTGGTTTGCCCCTGTTGCTACCCAGCAAGCTCCCCACTGGGTTAAAGACTGGTGACATCTGCTAAAAAAACTGTCAAGAGTAAGAAGAAGAAAACTGGGTAATGAATCACATCAAGTGTTCAATGCAGCTAAAAGCTGGAGGGGCCAGTCCGCCCCACCTCACCCTCCACTCAGTGCAGAGGGACACTCTTTAAAGTCTGGAAATGGTAAAGCTAACTCTGCCCCTTGTGCATCTACACCATGATACAAGCCATAATTAGGTGACATGCTTCTCTTCATGTCAGAGGCACATACAGCAGATAGAACCCAGCTCCCCACCACCTGCAGCACAAAGCTGTGGGACACCTCCATGGACACCTTACGGACAGCCGGAGGGACCTTGTGCTGAGCA